CCATAAATATTCTGCAGCTAAATGACAAAAACATATATTCAATATCAAATATCAGTGCACAAAAGGTATCCGCTTATATCATAGCTTCCCAGTTTAGACATGGGGTTATTATCTCCTGGTACAGCAGAAAAGCAGAAGGATAAAGAATTATGGCAATGAGCCCTGGCTAGTATTTCTCTCAGGTTTTTAGCACAAATTGATATATTATTGAACAAATAACCTGTGGAAGGGTCACCAGATAAAATATGCCAATATTTACTGATACTTCTTTGTAACTGTTAAGATAAAGGAGAAAATGTGGTGGCAAACACCACATTTTTGAGCCCCTCCTTGAGATACATTTAGGTGTCAATAAGTTACTGCTCTCTATGTTTTTGACTCTATCTGAAATATAGAGTCAGGTCTCTTAAAGCTGTAACCTCTAATGGTTACAAATATGGTTACAAATATCTCAGGCTTGTTCTTCAAAGGCTTTTTTGTATATTATACTTGTGTCTTCTTCTTTTTTTATGTTATGATTGGCACAGTTTTTCTTTTTTGGAGGCGTTTTTCTTTACAGATGTTATTCATCAAGTAATTATTACTTATTATTAACTAATATCATTATTACTTAATGCTAAGTTATAGCATTAAGTAATAAGACACTACTTTTTGATTGGTCGAGGAATCTAACCTGGCTTTTAAGGGAAGTATTATCCAATAAATACTGTACAAACTACAGTATCTAATTAATAAAGGGAAATATAACAAAGTAGCCTTGTAGCAGAGAATAGGATAAATCAGAGATTGGATCTGCAGGAAACTCTTATTAAAATGAGTTCTTATAGGATGTGTCAACATTAACCAATAATATAAAGTCAATTTTTTTAATATTTGAATATCTATTTATGCTTATAAACTGATATTTTGGAGGAATACATTTTTATTTTATTTATTTTTATTAAAAGAAATGTTTGTTTGAATGTCAACTTTTTGATAATAATGTGCTTTTAACACCTTCATACATACATTACTTTGGCTGAGGGTCAGTATTTTATTTTATTTGTATGCTTTTCAGGGAAGTGAACGTCCACTGTGGAATCCTGAACAATCACAACCTGATTCGGGATTCACATCCAGCTTCAGAATCTGGCCTCTGACTGACCAAGAAGAACTGAAAAGACAGGTAGGAATCAGAAGCATGCACAAACCTTTGGCTTTACTGGTTTGATGTCAGATGTCACAGACAGCGTGTTTGTCTCTGCAGCGCCAGTCTCAGTTCCTGATGCACCGCCGCTTGGCCATGAACATCGAGAGAGAGCAAGTGAAGGAGAACAAGCAGCACAGGAAGCACCTGAAACAGACAGCAAGGTGAAGAGAGGACAGGCGTAGCATGCTGTATCGCTTCCTCTTGTGGTTTGGGGTGTTCCATTAAAGTGAATCTAAATCCTGAGATCTCTCTATAAAGTGTCAAACAGCAGATCTCTCTAACATGACACATTTTCACAGTAGAGGAAATAAAAACATTTGTTTTCTTAACTGAACAGTGAGCTTGCTTGGAGCTTGCTTGAATAGATATCCAAAGTAATTAAAAAAAACCCTCCTTTAAACTTAAATTACATGTTATTGTCAGTGAAAATCTCCTTTCGCGTGTTCCTGTCTTCACTGAAGGATCAAAGCAGAGAAAGAACAGATGCGTCTGGAGGAGGAGAGGAAGCTGGAGAGAGTTCGACAGCTCGCAGAGGCCAGGCAGAAGCTGGAGGAGAGGGAGCTGCTGATTCTGGAGCGACTAAAGCTTGAGGAGGAGGAGGAGAGAGCTGTGGAGCTACAGAGGAGGAAAAGAGAGGAGAAAGGCAAAGTAGCTGCTAGGTAATTAAGCAATAGAGACTCAACTGAATATACCTAATGCAATTAAAACAGGAAAATCCACTGATGTTTAAATGTGGAAGTCTGTTTGCAGTCATTGGAGAGTGCTACTTGATTTTTATTTAAGGCTAGATTTTGAAGGCTTTTGTAGCCTCCAATAGGATAACAGATGTAAACCTGCTGCAAACCTATTTGAGAGACGGGGCATATGTGGGTCTGTAGGGTTAATTTTCATTTTCTGGCACTCATCTGGAGTCACATAATATTTCTCCCCATCAGTGTTTTCTGCCTCTTCCTGGCTAGAGTCTGGTCCATTTCCAGGTCCAGTGTGATGTGGTGTATAATCAATCAAGACATTTTTGTATATTGACAAGTGATCAGTAGGGGAAGGGGAGAATGTGAAGTCATCTTTATGGGGCGAAGAGTTAAAATTTTACTTTCTAATTGTTTTTGTGTTGTTAGAAATAAAATGAGCTTGACTTTAGCTGCGACTTCATTAATAAATATATAATAAAATTGATCAAATTTTAAGTCCCAGTTACACAAATGGGAGAAGTGATACCCCCTGTTTGTAAGTATGACCCTCACAAACCACTGTTTAAAAAAATGTATGCATGGCTTTGTGAAGCTGAAGCTCTCCTTATTATTTCTGCAGGTTCATTGAAGCTCTGAGAGCTCAAATGAAGGAGCGAATGTCTCAGGCGAAACTGGAGCTCCCTCCTCTCTGCTGCTGTGCGTCCTCGTTCTGGGACTCCCACCCCGACACCTGCGCTAACAACTGTGTTTTCTACAATAATCCCAAAGGTGAGGAATTCACACTCAACCATCTGGTTGCTTACTGAGCTTTAATCCAACTACATGAAAACATTTTTTTGTTCTGCAGTGTATGCCCAGGCCCTACATTCAGCGTTGGCGAGTTTGGATTTGCAGTAAAAGGAAGCTGATGTCTGCCTAAAGGTCCGGTCTCAGATTTTGGAAAATCTTGTGTACGTTTTCTAGCCTACGTTCAGATCAGTGCTCTCGCTCAGCACTGAGGAGTCCAGGACACGTTGAGCCTCCACAATAGAAGAGATTTATATGTTTCAGTTTATTGTTGTCTTCCAGAAGTAAAATCGTACGTTTCACGTATGATTTGGTGCACAGATTGTTTTCTAAATGAGCAATAACAAACATGATGTTTCTCTTTGCCTTTGACTCCTGTCTTTGCCTGTTGCGTTATTATTATCTTCACTTTCCCCAGATCTTTGATTTTAATACTTGGAAATCTGATCATGTTGTCACTGAACAGTCAGATTCCTATATTTATTCTGCTGGTTGTGAAGAATGACATGGAGTATAAAATTTCCTTTTGAACTCTTTGGCTTTGTTTAATTATTGCTTATTAAAACTAACAGAAATTTGCTTTGATTTATTTATTGGTAATGAAGGAATTTGTGCAGTGTCTTACTCTGTGTATGTAGTTGTAATGGCGGTAGTTAATGTGCTGAGTAAGCAACTAAACTTTTCAAATTCAAATTCAAATTTTATTTGTCACATACACAGTCATACACAGTACGATATGCAGTGAAATGCTTAGACTTGAAAATGTCCCTGTGAGGATTTGCTGTTTGTTGTGTGGGTCAAGAGTCATGTTGACCTGTTTTAGGACTCCATTTAACAAATAACACTTCTGTTATGTTTTTTTTTTTTTAAATAAATGTCACTTTCTGTGGTAAATACAAATTGTGAAATGGTGTGGTCTTATAAACATCTGCTTTTAAAAATCGTGTTCCTTTTTATGATTTTGTGACCGATGCACATTTATATGTTTTAAAATGGTGATAGTTATTTACACTTTTGTTATTTTTAACATCAGCTCCAGTTATTTTTGTTACATTGTAGTTACATAGTTGTGTAGCTCATTCACTGGCAAAATATCAGACTCACAGGCCCTTTTGTTAGGTCATCCATTCAGTTGCTTGTTACATCCTTTAATTTTCCAATCACATGGCAGCAGCTCAATGTATTTGGGCTTGTAGACATGGTCAAAACAACCTGCTTAAGTTCAAATTGAGGATCAGAATGGGGAAGAAAGGTGATTTAAGTGACTTAACATGGCATGGTTGTTGATGCCTGACTGGCTGAACTTTATATTTTAGAAACTGCTGATCTGCTAGGATATTCCCTCACAATCTCAGGAAATTACAACAACACAGGCTAACCAAAAATGATCGATAGAAGATTGGAAAAGTGTTGCCCATAAGGTCCCGTTAGGCTTTAACATCTTTTTCATTAGTACGGACTCGGATCACCTTGCCACGACTGGACTGATTTTCCTTATTACAATGGAGTAACTTCCAATGTGTTGTGTAGTTGTCATAGCAACGCGTCCGAGCGTCCCGCGACGTAATTAATAGGCGACACGAACGCTGGACGTCCAGGGAAGAATATACCAGCGCTCGGTCTGTGTCATCAGACTCTGAGCACCACGGCAATTTTTTTGTAACCATTTCCCTCTGCTCGCCCGGGGTTCCAGAAAAAGGTGCAAATAATTACATGAATGTACATCTTAGATTTAAATGAGTGTAAATGAGGAGATGCTGAGCTGGGCAACACATTGCATATCATAGTTTACTGATTTACTCATTAACTGTTTGCTGACGATTAAATTACAAGATGAAAATCAG